CAAAACAAACAAACCAGAGTCTATAGTCCATATAGTTGGGCCCCCTCTATTTTAAAATGAGTACAATTTTTTCCTACTAGAAGAAAGGAAGCTCACGTAAACCACAGAAGGTGAGGAGTACCTCAACTGAAAGACACAAAAGTCAATTAGAAAATTAGAGGTATTTTTCACAATGGGTACACGAGGTGGTGTTTGTAATCATTGAAGCCAGACACTAGTAAGCTGGAAATGAATTAACCAGTGTGAAGCACCTGGCGTCAGGAAAATAATTGCAAGAATGATAATGAAAGTTAGGGAAGCACAGCGGAGTCCCCAGGAGTATGACCTGGGGAGGGAGATGCCTGGGTTTCAAGCCAGGGCACTCGCTAGCTGTGTGTGACTCTGGATGACAAAGTCAGTTTCTCCAACTGTACAGCTGGGATTATACTGTTTGTCTTGTAGGGTGGTGGCTGTGAGAATTGGTGATAAGGCGTCTGAGTACCTGGCACATGAACATCATGGCTGTTATCTTATTACTCCCGCACTTACAATTTTCTGACAAAAAACGTTTCATTTATCTTCACCTTATTTACTATTGGGGAAGGATTAAAGTTCGGGGACTGGGAAATGCTTGATTTGAAGCCAAAGCAAAATAAAAGACTGAGTTACCACCTTGTGCCAGGCATCTTGTATTTAAAATGAATGAACTCCATCCAGCCTCTGCCCTCAAGCAATGCACCTCCTTCTACCAGATAAACCGACACTAATGAATAATTTACTAGAGGACAGGCATGGTGGCTCAGGTTACACTTGTAATCTCAGCACTTTGGGAGGCTTAGGGCAGGAGGATTGCTTGAGGCAAGGAGTTTGAGATCAGCCTGGGCAATGTAGCGAGACCCCCATCTCTACTAAAAATAAGAAAGAAAAATTAGCCAGGCGCGGTGGTGGTGCATGCCTGTGTCTCAGTTACTAAGGAAGCTGAGGCAAGAGAATCAATTGAGCCCAGGAGTTTGAGGTTGCAGTGAGCTATGAACGTGCCACTGCGCTCTAGCCCATTTGACGAATGAGACCTAGTCTCTAAAAATAATAATAATAATAATTTACTGTAACGCAATGGGTTACATAGAAACATATTGGAAGAACTGGTTTCTTGGGCAAAATGGGTCCTGGATGGCTTCCAGGGGAAGCGATGTTACCTTGGGTCTTGAACGTCATGTAAAAATTCCTGGGCGGCAAGTAGTAGGGAGATCCTTTAGAAAGTGGCCTTACAGAATCTTTAGGATCTAACCACTGTCAGCTTTTCCAATCTCATTTAACTCTTTGTTCTTTCTCCAATCTCAATCTAACATCTAATTGTGGAAGGGGGATTTTCTTGAATTATTTCTTTGATGACTATGTTTCCTTTTTTGCTCTCTTTATACAGATGTTGGGTCACTCAAGCTGGTCCTCTTACTTATTGCTCTTTTTTAAAATTTTTTACACATTTTTTATTCTTTGTTATGTCAGGAGAAAGTTTGAACACCGTCCTCCACTACCACAAATTATGCAGTTGAGTTTCCCACATTTGGGGAACGCGGGGGCCAGCATATTGGAGTGCAATGGATACACCTCGCCCTGGGAAAATCACCTTTGTGATCATGGTATGTCCCCGCCAGGTGACTTATTGCTTTTTTTCTTCTTCTACTTCTCTTCTCTCTTTTCCTTCATCTCCATCTTATAGGAACGTTTCACACGTTTATCTTGCAATCTTTCAACCGTATTTTTCATTTCTGTTGTCATCTATTTCCCTCTCTCCATTGCCATTCCCCTCCCCCATTAGCAACCATTCTTGCATGTTTAATGCAAATCTTTTTGTATATATGTCTTCAAAAAAATATGTATTATTGTTTTGTGTCCTATTTTTAATTTATGTAAAGGCTAGTCATATTCCTGACCTCTCCACTTCTGATCTCTAGCTCCCATCCTCCCTCCAGATGATCCTCCGTATTACAATCAAATATATTATTGTGCTAGTTTTCTGTGGCTGCTGTAAAAAAAAATCACTGCAAATGTTGTAGCTTAAAACAACTAGGTCCTGTAGGCCAGAAGTTCAACATCAGTTTCACTGAGCCAAAACCAAGGTGTCAGCAGGATAGTGCTCCCTCCGGAGGCTCCCTCCCTCTAGGCTCAGAGTCTGTTTCTGGCCTCTTGCAGCTTCTGGTGGTGTTGGCATCCTTTGTGCCAACATTATTCTGATCTCTGCCTCTGACGTCACTTTGCCTCCTCTCTTCTGAGTGTGTAATCTTCCTCTGTGACTCTCTTGTAAAGAGATTTTAATTGCATGTAGGGCCCACCTGGATAATCCAGGATGATCTCCTCATCTCAAAATCTTCAACTTAATCACATCTGCACAAACTCTTTTTTCAAATAAGGTAACATTTACAGGTTCCAGGGATTAGGATGTGGACATAACCTTTGGAAGCCATTATCAGCCTACCACAATTATCTATTCATCGTTTTATATGATCATTTAGACATATATATACATATGGAACATTTTTCTTTTCAAACTAAAATGGAATAACATGGTCTCTGTTCAAATGCCATCTCCTCAGAGAAATTCATTCATATTTCCTTATTCAAAATACAGCCAGTCACCCTCTGTCCTTTCATCCTTCTTTATTTTTCTTCCTAGCATTGGTATCAGTCAGTTGTAAAAGAAACTTTAGCTAATTTAAGCAGAAAATAAATTTATCATAGATTATTAGGTAGCATATAGAATCACCAGGAGGATTACATACACCACATAGAGGCTAGTTACCTGTGGTCTAGTATACATGCCACTGAGACACTGCTGGACATAGATCGGCAGCACGTGTTGCCAATATCACTAGAGCCAGGCACAAGACACTGCAGTTAGAACCTCATCCTTACTCCCCTGGAATACTGCCACCCTCACCAGAAGAGATTTTAGGTAGTGCTAGCTTTTTCCACTCCCTTGTTTCCATTGTTTATCAAGACTTGGTGTGTTTGAAGTCAGGTAGTAAAAATTCTCCAACTTTGTTCTTCTTTTTCAAGAGCAGTTTTAATAGTCTAGGTCTTTGATTTTTCATAAAAATCTCAGAATCAGTGTTCAATTTCTCCAAACAACCTGGTGGGAATTTTACTGGGATTTTTTTTTTTTTACTCTATAGATCAATTTGGGGAGAATTGACATGTAATCATTATTGAGCCTTTTAATCCATGAACATGGTATATCTGTCCATTTATGTAGATTTTTAATTTCTTTCAGAAAGGTTTCACAGTTTTCAT